AATAATAATAATAAAACTATTTCAAAACACAACACACTATAAACACCAAAAAAATAGTAATAACAATAATAAAACTAAAATCTGTGTTTATACTTATTCCTCAAGCTTAACCGAATTCGAACTACACGAACCAGAGTTACTACGTAAAAAACATTCTACACGTCCTTTACCTTTACTACGTAAAACCTCTTTCTAATTTTTTTTACTCTTCAAAGAATCTTCTACTACCTCTTGATTACAATCAATTGAATCATCATTCTCTTTTATACAAGACTCATAATCAGTATCTACTGAATCTTTGAGAAGGTCGTTAGAATCGTCAACACGTGCACATTTCACTAAATAAGAATAACCCATTGAACTCGAATTAACAACATAATCATTAGAACTACTCGAAACTCTGTCTACTAATTTATCTTTAGAACTTCCAGCAATATTTTGATGAGTAGCTAAGAGCTTAGAACGAACTGAATTTCTAGAAGTCGAAGACTCCCAAGACGCATTACTATCATAAAACCTTTTCTTACTAATAAAGTGTGTATCAATATAGTTAACCTCCTTAGCATACACATAAAATTCATTAGAAATTATTTCCATTTGTCTAACTACAAAAATCAAAGATTCCTGAGGACGAATCATATCTTTCAACTGCATTAATCAAGAGTTGTGACGCGAAAAAACAACCTTCATCACAAAATTATATTCCTGACCACAATAATCAGTTACTAACGTTTTAATAACAGTATCATCTTGAATCTCACTTGGCACATCTTGAGGAATTCCAACTAAAAATACCTTTAAAGGACATTTATTCGATTCGGTAACTTTATTAAGAATGCTTACATGTGTGGATGTTGATACTGTCATCTAAAGTTTTTAAACCGAAAATTAATACACCCAAAATTATTACTATAAATAAATATATATATATAAATATATATAACAATACCTTTGCCCTTCTAACTCCGCCATAATACCCAGGAACAATTTTACCACTGACAGAAATAAAGTTATCTTTCTCAAAGATCGCTTGAGTCTCAGAATCTCTATCGTCCAAATTTAATAGCACAAACAAAGACATTTCAATATCATAATCTTCACGTTCTACAGGATAAGAACCAAGAGCCCATACGATCAAAGAATTTATATCCTCATTTACATTCTGAGACACATACTTAATCCTAACAATCGTATCTGCATAACATGCCATTGAAAAATTCAGTAAACCGATAAAAAATTAAATAAATCTACGTTTATTACAAAACCTTCAAAAACAACATCAACTTATATATGCATACAAATGTATTAAATAATGATGATATATACAACCTTTTTAAAAACATATAATTACAAATC